ATGCCCTAATGACAATGAAAACAAAATTTCTTCGTGATTTCTGAATTTTTCCTAATCAAATTGGTCGCACGTCAACTGCAAATGTGAATTCAAAAAACGAAAAAGTTGCAAAATGTGATTTGGTTTCTGGCGAAATCAAAGACTCTGCGCAATGGCATCCTTTCAAGAAACTCTTAGTTGTTGCATGACCCAGCCTGGAAGCCTGGGTGAGCTTCCTTAGCCATTGAATTTAATTGAAAATTGTGTTGTGACTTGTTAAACCGAAAAACTTTAAAAATGTTTTCGGCTGGCTAACGACAATGTCAAATTGGCAGAAAAATTTCACCTCCCAACTGAAAATGCTTCTAACTAATTTCCCTCTCAAAGCTGGTACCTTCAGTTGATTAGTGAGATTTGTGAGATTTGTAAGTGTGAACTCTTCAGTACAAACTTTAACTACAAACGTCGGTTTCAATGAAAAGTTCACTCAGTTTTTTTCTTATTGAAAATAAGTTTTATTTGCAGAAATAATTATAAAATACCAAAAGGGTTACATCGTTGCAATGCAAACTCCAACTTAAGACTTCTATGTGACCAAAGCGAAAAGGAAGACCAACTGTAAAAAAATTAAAATATTTTCACAGCTCATAAGTTTGAGTTTGTAATTTGATTTCTCATTAAGTGATAAACAAAACGTAACTAAAAAATCAGTTTCACGCTTAAAATGACTTAAAAGCAAACAGCAAACACAAGTTTCTACTTAAATCTGTGAGCCGCGAAATCTTAACTTTGAGATGCTAACAAACCGAAACGCTGAACAATGGTAACTCGTCAATGGACACAATAGTCGGACGTCAATTCGGACTTGTGATCTCACTGTTCACCGTTCACCGTTCAGTGTTCGTCAACAAGAAAAGAGCAAATACAACTGTGAGGCTTGTTGCTTTGAAGATGCTGTAATTGAGTTTTCGTTCACAGACTCCATCTCAGACTCCGCACCGTGTCAAATACCGTATCAGCTAATTACCGGATTACCAGTGCGAACTCCCCACAAATACACCAAAAACGAACAGAAAAATTCATAATAAAATCAATAACCAAAGAAAACGTTTACTTTACTCATTGGCAGCTTTGTTAAGACAAATATTGATCAAAGTCAAAATTAGAACTAAAGTCTGTACGTACCACTACAGCGATGGCTAATTCCATTTAAACATATTCATAAAAGAAAATTGTCCATGAATACGGTTGAGAAAGCACGAAAAAACTATTATACAGAATAACAAATATAAAACAATAACAAAAGACACAAGCCAAGTCAACGAAGACCAGTTCATATGGTGATCGGGACACTGATACCGTATCAGCGCAGTTGGTTTCACTGCAACTGCAACTGCAACTACAACTCAATTAATAACAAATTCTCAGAACAATAAAAATTCCACACACAAATTATAATGCAGCAAGTATTTGCTCGGAACGCTGAGGATTCGTTTTTCTGCAAACTCATAAGGAGAAATATAACACATAGAGGAATTAGCTTCTAAGCTCCTTGCAGCATTCGTGCCAATTACAGCATTGAGCAACCTTTGCCTTGCGACTGATGAAAAGCAGAAAACGACAAATTTTTATCGGTGTTTGGCTTCACATCGAAATTAGCTGAACTCACTGATAAACCCAACCCGGATGAAGTCTCCCTGCGGCACCCAACTGCATTGGCTTACAATTAAAACGTGTTCCAAAGGTGCCAGAAAGCACAAAGGTGTCGTCGTTCCTGTTGCTGATACGAATTACATTACCACTTTGGATAACTCGATGGCACTTAAAGGTGTGATGACGTGAAGCACTTTTAAATTGTCTTGGCTATTAATTTTTAAAAACAAACTCAAATATCAGAAGAGATTAAAATTGAATAATAGCCAAATTAAGTTAATGGGAAAATACCGTTGCATCTGCAACAAGTGCCAACACTACAAATATACTTTTCATTACAAAGCACAGCACAAAGCTTGCGAATTCAAGCTGATAGGCACTAAAAGTTTCGTTGCAGCAAGTGCAGCACGAGAAAAACTGTATCTCATCAGCCACATATGAGACATGTCATTGAAGCTATTGCTGACAGTATATGCCGTGATAGAAAGTGGACAAGAAATCAGTTGGCTCAGTGCAGCGAAGGGGAAATATGAGAGAAGCGAAGCATGATTTATGATTTCATTAGGAAGGAAAAGTTTATCTGAAGACCAATCTAAGCAGCAGTGGTGTGCCGCGGAATACAGAGCCGCTCAGTGGATGTCCAAGCAGTCAACGCAGTCGAGACAATGTGCAAAACCTAAAGTAATTCATTTTCCAGTCTTTTATTTCATGGCACATAGCCCTGTTGAAGTTGATACAAAGCCTGAAACAATTCGCTGGTATCATTTACAAATTCTGGAGCAAGATCATTGCCATCGCGGCCAAGATCGGTATTCGTTTTGCCTTATTTTTGATTAGAGTCGTTCAAAAAGTCGTGAGGTTGGTGTTTTCTCTAAGACAGCGAGCAGAGTTTCAGGAGATTTTACTTCATAATTGAAATTTAAGTGGGATTGGGTTGGAGGCAGAAGCAACAATTACATATTCAGCTGTACCTAGACTATTGGTTGACCTCACACGCATCTTTGCAATAAAAATTTATAAAACTAAAAAGGGTGATAGATATAAATATTCTCACAGCAACTTTAGGATAATTAACAAATCTGCAATTGTATAGATTGATCTGTTCAATTATTGCAAAAAACTTAATCCAAATTAGTCATTTACTTAGTTCTACTTTTTTCGACTGTTTAAGGCCAAATAGAATAGCAGATCCAGTCGGAAAATCGTAAATTTGACCAAATTATGATTTACTCAAACCAAGACCGCAGTAAGTGAGTTGAGTTGGCTTTTATGGAGGAAAACTAGCAAAGAGACGAGATGAAAGTTTGAGGCAGGCGTAATACTAAGACATTGCAGCGTGTATCTATTCGAATTCTCAATGGTAGAATTTGTGGTTATCGTTCTAGTTTTTTTTTCAACAAAGAAATTTTATTGTTGTTGTAGTTGCGAACAACATTGAAATCACGTATTTTGTGTTACGCTTATTTCAACAAAAACTGAAACGTTTTTTCGTGCCTGAATCGAGTAGAAAAAATCAAAAAACTGCAAATGCAGAGCAGCAAATGTTGCATCGATACTGAGTCCGTTGGTGCTACGGTGGTACGGTAATACAGCTGAAGACTGAGGTACTGTTTTTGACGATTGAGACTGAGACACCGCATCTGAGACTGATACAAAGTCCGAGGGACATATGAAGGCGGCTATTGTTGTTGCGGTTGTAAATTTTCTGTGCCAATTGTTGTTCGCCGAGATGATGAGTGGTTTGATGCAACTCCAGTACGGCGACTGAACTTAATTTAATGGCCATAAAAACAAAATTAAATGCTTCGTTTTTTCCACGTTTTTTCTTCTTTTGCTATTAATAGTAGAAAAGCTCCACCTCCCATAAAAATTATTACGAATTCTGCATCAAGAGGCAACTAAGACTGAAAAAATTGTATTGCAAATGTTTAACAACAAATCAAAATTGAATAGACAAAATTACAACCTAAAACAACATTTAATGAAAATTCCTAATCGTTAAATATGAGAAAATAAGTTAAAAAGTATCTTAAACGAGTTGCGGAAGATGAGGGAAGTGAGTGCAGTGAGGAAGTAAAACAGCTCCCGCTGTACATTGTTGCAGTTGTAGGTGCCACTAGGGTTGATGGCTTCGATAGATGCCCTCAGCGACTTTTGTTGCCACTGTACAAACAACGACAATTTGTTGGTTTAAGCAGCATTCGAAACAATGATTGCCGACGAACTGCAAAAACAACAAGACCATTCAGGAACAAACAATTGAACTGGTCCAAAATTAATGGAAATGTTACCAATGCAATCACTGGCTGCATTGTAGCAATTGTTGTTGCTTCTCAATGCTACTCAATATTGTTGTTGCCATTTTTATTTGTTTCATTTCACAAATCGATTTCGAAAATGGTTTTTTCGACTATGAATCACATTTACTGATATGTGTATTTTATACATATGAAGATCGTGCTGCCATTTTTATGTTGTTTGTATCTGCAACAGTTGTGTTTATGTCAGCGATACAAGTTACAAGATTTCTATTTCTTTAATATTCTGTGGCTATTTCCGATCAATTGGAAGTGATTTTTGTTGACACATTTCGTTGGTGGTGAATTAAAACATTTTATATGACATTTGAAATTCATTTCAGCAACTTTCAATATATTAAAATCAAATTTATATTTTAGGAGACCAATTCCGTTACAGAAGACATTGTATAGACATTCATTCCATTAAACTAATCTTCCAAATAATGTGACAAGAGCGTAAATACGTAACTAAACTAAATAAACTTTTCTTACTTTGCTAAATAATTACTTAAACTTAGGTTTACTTACTCGCATTCACCAGGTCGATCGCATTTCCCATGTGTCGGGTCACAGCCTGGTTTGCAAATTGCCTCTTCACAGTTAACACCCTGCCAGCCTTGCAGACAGAGCTTCTGACCCTCCGAACCGCAAGTGTAATGGCCGAATTGGTCATCGCGCGCTCGGCAGAACGTTGTGCATGTTGTGTTGTAGTAAGTAACGGCGCATTGAACTCTGACCCGATATGTAATTCGGGCATTGGTACCGATGTGATCCAGAGTCTTCCATTCGGGCGATGGTAGTATTACACCTGAATATGATGCCTCTTCAATTAACCTCTCTGAATCTGTTTGCGTCGATTTTATGTAGTTGCCAATAGAGATTGCCATGACGACAGCGTTGACGATGATGATAACGATGACGATGACGATGTCGACATTGTTGATGTTTTGTGTAACAACGATCACGGTGGCATTTGTTGTAAGAAAATGTTGGAGTTGTTGTTCGAATTGTTGTAGTTAAGATATTGTTCAGAAAAATAACATCGTTGGCGTTCATGTTGTCAACAAGTTTAGTTACACAAAGTAGTCAAATGGGTTGGAAGCAGTTGAAAAAGTCCACAAGCAAGGAAACGAAATCAAATAAAACAGAAAAATATAAAAAAATATGTTAAGTTTATTTTTATTTAAATTATTCTAAGCTGAAATGTCACCAACTACGAGTTGGTTTAATTAAAGACAGTAGCTAATGTAGCCGCCGTTTTGGGTCAGCAATTCAGGTTCACATTTGTTACTGTCTCTGCTCGTTTCAAATCGAATTACCTGGATAAGACTTGTTGTACATATCCAACGCCTGCAGTATCAGCGTAAATGACTTCTGAAATTAAAAAAAAGAAAAAACTCATTAGAAAATGTAAAAAATCTCATTTAACTGCAAATAGCAAACGTATTTGTGTCGCTGTCATGTACAGTGGACTTCTGTTTATAATGAAATAACTGAAAATAAAGATCCTGAAAAGGGTTCAGAGAGCATTTGTGCGATTTGATATTTGCAAAGAAGAAAACATTTTTTATTTTGACAAATTTGTACAAAACCATTTTACAAATTTTATTGCACAAAACTCATTTGAAGTTGCGGGAAATACAAAGCCAATTGTCACAGTCCGTTTACACCCAATCAAGTCGCGAAGTTCTGTTTATCTGTGCACTCTAATGAATCTCAAAGATCTCAATCTTGCACAATAAAGATTAAAGTAATCGAAGCGACTGTTGTAATAAAAACTAACGTCAACTCTATTTAAATGTCAAGTGATTTTTAAGCAACTTCACAGCGCCTTTCCAAAAGGGAAATTTTGCAATTAAAATATTCGCTACTAATTTCTAATCTAATCCGAACAACCGTAACTGTGAATCCAAATTGCAATAGCCACGTCTGTTCCTTGTTTAATGGGTCTGGATGTTTAATTTATGGCAGTTCATGGTGTGGAAACATGCATAAGCAACGCTTCAAGAAACTCAAATATATTTACGCGATCAGTTTTATCGCAACGATAACAAACCAACAAACCAACAAGCAACAACCAACAGTCAGCAGACAGCAGCAACATGAAGCCGATCGCGTTGATCATAATGATTTTGTTGTTGGGCGATGTTTTTCTTCTCATTTCAAGTAACTTTCAGTACATCTACAATATCAACTACTACAACTACTACAACAACATCAGCGGTAACAATAATGTAAATTGCTATCATACGTAATGACTTACAGAGCCAAGAACTGAAAAAGCATAAAAATTCGGCTTACTGCACACGAAGATTGTGCACCACGAAAGCAATTAAGTTCGAATGTTGCTGCGCGGCTGGAAGTCAGGAAATTCTTATTGAAGACAATCTTAAGTCTTCGGCAATGTCCAATGTCTACTAAATCAGGTTACGCAGTGCTCCAACGTGAGATTACCACTGAAACGGTTGGAAACGAATAGGATTTACAGAATAATGTATTGGACAAGTGCAACGAGTACATAAAGAATTCTTAAGGAACTTTTATGAGGCTGAACGCAGTTATGAATGTCGGTTATGTTAACAGAACAGAGGCAAACAGGAGGGAGGGGGGAGGAGTGGGATGCAATTGAAGAAGTCCGCACTGATCGCTTGTTTATGGTAGTGATCACATTACTTAAGCTGATTTTTCTTTTTGCCAATTTGTACATTTTACGATTTTCAATTTAATTTTGTACACAAATACACGCGTTGACATGAACAGCGGGATTCCAATATCATTTCCCTCACTCTCGCGGTACTTAAATATTCAAAATTATGTAGCCAAGCGGATTGCATCAATCGGCAATTAAATTAGTTACGATTATGATCATGCCACGCTAAGCACTTTAGTTGTAATTTTTTTTTATTTTTTTTTTTTAAAAAAAAGGTCTTATTTTGCATATTCGAAAGCGTCATAAATCAAGTACACATTCGTGCGTCTCTCCATCTTCCGTTCAATTCGTATCTGTATCTCTATCTGTCTATCTATCTGTATCCGTATCTGGAACTGCGTCTTTTTATGCTGTATCACATTCAATTGTACCTAAGACTTCTAAGACATCGTATGAGTGCCTTTGTCAATTTGCCTGTTTAGGTCATTTGGTCAATTGAAGTTGTTGAATTCGTTGTGTCTCATTGAAAATCAAATTTGTCTTGCTTTGCTCCGATTTTTGTAAATTTTTTGCGCTATTTTTGCTCGCTGCTTGAAAAATTGCACAGCATCTCAATTTTAAAGATTGTTTGTTGACATTTTTGACTGTAATAACATTCTCTAACATGAGATGTTTAAGTTTTTTTTTTTGAATTCTATCTTTTAAACTAATTTAGATGTATTTTTGTCAATTTTATGATAATTTTTATTGCATTTTCAGTAAACATTTCTACGAAATTTTATGTTTCATTTACAGAGTATTTAATTCAAGGACAAAATTTATATTAAAAACGATCATAAAAATTTTCCACTTGAATAAGCTATTTAATTGACTTAAAGTATAAGAATAATTTAAGTATATAATATATTTAATGGATTATAAAATCCGATTAACAATCTAGTATATATAGTATCTGATTCTAAAGACGATTTATAGCGCAGACTATATAATATCAAAAAAACTATTGTATATTCCTAACAATATTAGCAAATGCGACAAAGATCAGAAGTCCATTTCAAACTTGCTATTAAAAAAAATGAGCACGTCAAATGTTCAGGTTTCTAAAAAACATTAGCGTATACATATATTGACATAGCGAAGAAGATACAAGGTAATCAATAAAAATATAAGCATTACCACCAATTACCTCTTGCATATGTGATTTTCAAGACTAACGAAACTGTCAAGTTTTGTTGACAATTGTTTGATTTTGTATCTATTTTATGTTCAAGAAAGTGCTGACCATCGTTAAAATTATGCATATCGAATCTGTGTTATATTTTACAAGTAAATAAATACAAAAACAAAAATCATCTGTTCTAAATATTTGCAAGACTAATATGCACAAAATGCTTTCACGATTATTTAAGTTTGTAATGATACACATTCAACGATACACAGAGATCTTAAATACCCCTATTACTTTGGGAAAGATGTGCTTCTAGCACCTGCTGTGTATAGTGAATTGTCAACTTTGCCGGTTTCGTGAACAGAACGAATCGCACCTTGTACTATCGTGAATGGTTTCTCTAGCAAAGGACTCGAACACAATACAAGGAAGAAAAATTTCAGATTTCGTACCGAAAATTGTGTTATAGTATGTGGCGCGGTTTTTATAAGATGAATTTACTTTATTAACAATAACATTTTAATTTAATGATTGTTTGAGAACAGCAATAGTTTCTACATCCAGCATTTTTCAACAATGCCGCGTCAAAATGGTGTGCTGAGAACGGTTTACTGTGCTATGATAATTTCGGCATATCTGAGTTATTAACAAATTCTGTAATTGTTACACTAAAGAAGAAAATATCGGTTTTGCTTTATGAAATATATTACATTTTTTATCAATCACCACTGTTATCTGTAGTGAAGGTATATCCGTAAATCAAATCATCTTTACATATAGATATTCGACTGTTATACATTTGATGGTGAGCATCCTTTCAAAGCGTTATAATCATTTCGAGAAACTATATATATCTTCTTTTCACTATATGTGAAGAAGAAAAAAAAATAAATAGATCCTTTTATATATAAAAATTAAAATGGCTTTACACATAATTTGTAAATAATTTGTTTAAAAGTGACCATATAAAAATTCTGTATACGGTATTTATATTTTATATTTACTTTCGTGATTTTATACTTAAATAAATATTCAATTTTTGTCCACAAGAATTTTTATTATTAATAAATATTGACTAAAATAAAATGTAAGGCAGTCATTAAATCAAAATCAATTAATTTTATTATGTTTTATAGTTTGTATTTGATCTTAAATGAATCAAACGAATAAATGTCTTCGCAAATGTTTTCGTCTGGTTTAAAATGCTTCATAACCAGTTTCGATACGGTTTTGTTTATTTACTTAGTTAATTACCAAAATTAAAGTATCAATTTTTTAGCTGTGGCTGATCGTGAGATTTTATCTTTTAAGCAAATTCTCCATTTGTATGAAAAATGATAATCAGCACAAATACTGTCAACTTCGCCACGGGAACTTCGCTTAACACACTCGATTAGGTGTGAATTAATTATTTTTTTTTTAAATAGAATAAAAATTCAGAATACATTTAAAACCTTAATGAGCAACTTAAGTGACATCTTCCACCTTCACCCTGGCTATCAAACTATATTATATTCCACATCATTCCAATCGGCATTGTCGATGATAATGCTGATAATCTGACAAACCACGGCAATCAAATTAATTTATTAATCCATTTTATTTTATTATTTAAATTTTGCTTGTTTTAGTTTTTTGTTGTCAAATAAATTTTAGTTGATTTCAAAATTAGTGGCTAATTGTGCGAATATTTCACTTTAAGTGGCCTCCCTCGCCAACCCTCTGTAACGCCAACGCCAACGTTGTTGAATGCGGTTTATTGTCTTATTAATAACAATATACCCGTGAAACGTTTTGTGGATATGCAAATATAATTTGTTCCTAATTTCTATTATTATATAGTTTAACGAAATGTTCGAAAAGATTTAGTGAACTCGATTTGCATAAAACATTTTATTGTTAATTTAATAAAATGATTTAAAAATTAAAAAAGCAATCAAAACAATTTATTGTTTTAATAAAATTTACGATCATCGCTTTTTTGTTGACAGCAGTACAAGAACCGAAATTTAATTTAATTAATAGTTTATGAGATTTGCTTTTGTAGATAGCCGAAGTATTTGTGAAAATCAATTAACAAAATGTTTATAGTTTTAGGATTTGAAACATAGAAATTAATATTAAAAGTTAATGTTTTATATGAGTTTATTACTTCCAAACTTTTCACAGATATGGCTATATTTCATGAATTAAATTAATTTGACAATTTTTTGATTTTGATCATGATTCTAGTATGAAGTTGATCCAATCAATCGAACAAAACCATCATCATGGATAATAGCAATTCCAAAGCTTTTGATTTAATAAACTTATAGTTTAATATCCATAATTATTTTTTTTTACCCATTATTTCTAACTGATCCTTATCTTTTTAACATAATGCATTTATATCGTGTTTTCCGATTTATAATTACTTTAAATGCTACATACTAGGTTTCTCTAGGGTTAGATAAATCTTTCAGTAGGATCTTTTACTTTCAGACCTCACCGATACTTGTCCAGAAACTTGATGTTCCAATATATAAGATGATATAAGAGTATAGGTTAAGAATACAT